AGGAAATTGTGCATTTTTGCATTTGGGTATGCCTCCAGGTGTGAAACAGTGTTATTTGGAGAGCAATAAATTAACAGATCTCTATGTTCCTCAATTCAAATAGGAAAGTGCAATCTTGCTGCTAACTTGCTTTCAAACTTGAGTTAATTCTTAGTGTGGTCCTGCCCATGGGCAAACCAAGTAACTCTGTGTCTTGCTCTGAGCTGACTCACATCTGATACCTGGGTATCTGCCCTGGATACTCCCAAATATGAAGGTCTAGAGACAGTATGAATGGGGCCATATGTAAACACTGCCTTAAGATCATCCCAGACCATAATGACTCTTCTTTTGTTCACCTGACTTTGGCTTTTTTTTTGCAGGATAAATTCAAATTATTCAATCTGTTCTAATACTGATTTTTCAAAAGTTTGCTTTAGCATGCTAGATTGACAGTGAAAAAAGGAAACACTAGTCACAAGATGAACAGATGTTATTTACTCTGAATTTGTTGTGTAGACGTGCTGTCTGTTCAGATTAGCTGGATTGTAATTGCCTCTAATTCAGTTTCATCTATATTTTCAAAATTGTGTTCATTCCAATAGACTATTCCATCATTTTCAGTGACAGACTTATGTAAAAGTATTTCTCTTCAACCAAACAAATTCAACTTCGTGATAAATTACTTTATTACTTTTAAAACAAGAAGATGTCAAGTATAAAGGAGATTATCCGGCAGGGTATATATGTGTTAGATACTGCTCAGTGGCTCTCACACTTGATAAATTTGCAGATTTAGAAAATAATACATTTTACTGAATATAAGCAAAATGTTTCCAAATATAACAAAGCATTGATCTGCAGCCTGAAGTGTTTAAATTATTTTTACAGCTCTGAGATATGAAATATAAAGTATGCATATAATTGATACAGGAAGATTGGATTAGATCAGAAAAAATCCTGTCTTTTTAACTGCATTAATTCTTTGATATGAATAAACCAAGTGAATTAATAATGAAGTAATTTCAATACTGTTGTTGCTTTAGCCTCCAACAGTTTTATCTGGAGAATTGCTGGATTTTCAGGTACATTAATTTTCCATTTATTTGGCTTTAAACCCTTCACAGTCTCTGAGGAATGTCACATAGCTGGCAAAAGAATAAAAAAAAAATTTAAAAATAATGTTTAACATATCAAATATCCTAGAATTCCTTAGGCACCTGGATTGCTAACCTTAACTTCAGCCTATAGTAAATTTCCAGAATAAAGTGAATGTAGCCCTGGCATATAAGGCCCTGGAAAACCTATCAAAGAAATAAATTCAGTTCCCTGTCCTATCTACAGGAGAAATTTACTGTCCTGGTTGCAAGCTTTGCCTGACATGAGGGTTAGAAATGAAGAATGTAGCAGTCCTGACAGGTGTTAGCTTACTGGTTATTAATTGTGCCCTATGGATAGAAAGAGGGGTTTTTCTCTGTGTTATATTGTGTTCTAGAGTGGGGAATGATTCCCTATGTTTCTGGACATATTGTGTTATGATGAGCACTGTGGTTATTTCTGAGCAATTTCATGCTACAAGAAGCTAGAGGACTAAGGATGTTGAATGACTTTTAGAGACAGGAAGGGATAGGTAACACCATTTACGTGGCACTCCATGATCTTTTACAGTGATGCAGTACTCATACTGGGAACTTAATCGTTCTGGGTTAGGGCTAAGGAAAGTCCAGGCGAGTAGCAGACTGGGGGCCTCAAACTGAGTGGCTGACAGGAAAAGGCCTGCTTCGTTCTTTCTCTTTCAGTTATATGACCTCTTCCAACGCCCATGGTACTCTGGCTTCAGAGCATATCAGAGTAGCGTCAGGCAGTTATCGCTGAGAAGTCTCATCTAGGGAGCTAATACATTGCCTGTCCCATCGTTGATTGACTGGAAAGACAAGAACCAAGGCTGTTGTAAGACACCATGGAATACCAGCTAAAAAGAACAATTCCTTACCTAAAAAGCTGAATAATATTTTTAAGCCACTGGTCTCTTAGCCCTTTACTCTCCCCGTGATCTTAAATGTATTGCACTTTTGTGACATACTATCCAGATTTTGTGTCAGTTTTTTGCTTGTTTTCCCTTTAACATTAGCTTAAATGTTTGATTGCATCTAAACTGCATTGTATCTATTATTTATGCAAGCACAAAGGCAGTAATTTTGTTTTCAAAATTTGATCAGAAATAGTAAATTTCATAGGGAATTTTCAACCAAGATTAAAACATATTTGAATGCAAAATAAAGACACACAATCAATTATGTACCTAAGGAATATGCAAGTATCTTGGATTTTATATTCAAATGCTGTCACAATGCTGAGCCCTTCTTATAAATATACAATGATAATTGTGCCTGTGAACATCTTGCATTTCACCAGTATTCCAAAATGGAAAATATCAGCACTCAGGAAAACTGTTATGAATTTATAACTCTGCCTATAAAACTTCAAGTCTGTGAACAAATAAATGGAGCTTGTATTCAGAATCCATAATTTTGCCAAAAGATTTTTCTTGGAAAGCAGATTTTTACACCAGGTACCTTCAAGCAGAAAATGAACCTTCTTATTTCTTTGACCCTAAAAAATTGTAGCTTTCCACTTGGCTTCACAGCCCCATCAAAATTCACAAATAATCTTTATGTAGCTACTTATTCTTAAATGATGTACCTGGTAGTGATTTACAGTCCATCCCACAGTCAGCAGGCAGCAGTCCCTGACCAGTGGTATTCCTGTATCTGTCCCAGGACATAGGAGGACCCTAGTACCAAGGAGCATCCTAAAATTAACCATCCGAATTCATATTATTATCTAGATTATTGTTTCATGTTTCTATAAATAGCTATTAGTCCAAAGCCAAACCTACATAAACCCAATAAGAAGGATAACAGAATCTTTTCATTCCTAAGTGCTATATTTAATTATAAATGTTCTGGGAAGTTTTTTGACTGGTATACTGGATTTCCATGTCTATCATATTTTGGCTAGATTGTTTCAAACCCAGTATTACAGCCAAATAGTCTTCCTCTCTATGTTTGAGAAAGATCTTAGACTTCTTTTACGTGAGGATAAAGGGTGTTTTAGACTGCTTACTTGCCTGTATGATCCTGGGCTTTGTCAAGCTGTCTCAGAAAAGACAGCTCTTCTGTAAGAAGTAAAAAAAGTGTGTTTTCCCCAGCACAAGTCTGCTGTTCACTGAAGACAATAAAGCCCTCTCTGTGCAGCCTTAGGGTCATACGGAAGCACCTATTTCTTACCTCCACCTCCTTCACCTTGGTAGGGAGGGCTAATTAACTACCAAGATGTGGCTCTGCCTCAGTTCTTCAAGAAGGCTGTGTTGAAGTCTGGCCAGCAGATCTCACTGTCTTGGGCACTGGGGTGTGCTCTGCATCTCCTGCTGTGCCAAGTAACTTCTGTGTCATCACAGGCTAGTACAGGTTTGCATTGTTCCCCCTTTGATGAAAAAGAACCAAAAAAACCCAGCTTATATCTTCATAAAACTAGCATAAGGGAGTAGCTAAGCAGGCTGGTTAACTCCCAGGCTAGTTAACTCTTGTGTGACCAAACAACTCTTTACTAATAATTATTCCAGACAAAGGAACTTCATAGCATAGTAATAACAGCAAATGAAGATATCCGAAAGAAGCAATGGTACCAAGTGCAGTTTACTCCAAAAGATGAAATGAGCAGTATGGTCTCCACAAGGACATACTTCCAGGGGATTGTGAGCAGCACTGAGACCCATGCAGGGAGTGAGCAGCAAAACCACCCTTGGTTGGAGTAATGCCAGCAAATAGAGGTCACATCTCAGCAGCATGGACTCAGGTATATGAAATGAGATGTTCAGTTTTGACATTTTGGTCACAGAAACAGTTAATTTAAGTGAACATGCTCAAAATGTTTGAGCATGAAATGTTTGAAGAAAGTAGAGGAAAGAGGTAACAAATGAGAGCTTCCAACTGGGGTGGTTGTGCCTGTTGTGAGGACAGAAATTACCACACAGCACCTCTAGATAAAATGCTGAGAGGACTCCAGAACAGGACTGTGGTACAGGCAATGTTGAAGGGGTGCATCAGGTCAGTTGTGTTCTACCAGATTCAGTGCTGGAATACTGTGCTTGTAGCCTATAAAAGTCACTATTCTCTCTCACTATTTACCTCACAAAGTGAAAAAGAGCAATAAAAAGCAACTATCAATTTTTCTGTCTCTGAAGATTGCCTCTGGTGGAGCAATTCTAGGGCTTTGCCTAGATGTCTAAAGATGATCTGACTGAAATTAAGGTTGAAGTAGTTTTCTAGCAACAGGATAAATAGAGAGTATAAATAAAAAATCTCATTTATGTGCACAAAAAGGAATGTTACATATTTGCACTTTCTTCACTGTAGAACTTGTAGTTTTTGAGACTTAATTTTTTAAAATTATTTTAATATTTGTTATTTTTATATATTTTTTTTTACATTTTCCAAGTAAGTTATATTTCATTCATATATTCACCTAAACTTAATTGGTGGGGAAAGGTAAACTTTTCATGAAAATGATGGAAAGCTTTTCACCAGGCAATAAGATTTCTGTTGTTTTTAACAGATTTCAAATTAAGCTTATTATACTTTAATTTATATAACAATAAAAATATTTATTGTTTGTTCAACTTTAACAAAATACTGAGTGTATCAAGGTTGATTGATTTTTTTTTCCTTTTTTGAGACCATCCTGCAGTCAAGTATTATTTTCCCGAAAGCCAGTTTCTTTAAATTTCACCATGCTTTCTATCACATCTAGGAATATTTCAATGTATTCTCCTAAGAAACTTTGTCAAACAATGTTTCTGACAATTTTCCATTTGAGTATACATATTTAGGCTTTAGCTTCTCAACAGCAAATTGTGATAGTTTTCACTCTAGGCCTTCCTGGAGACCAGCTTGCCACAGGAAGGAACTAGAAAGATGACCCAGGAAGTATTCCATGCTATTCCTTTACGTAACCTGAGGTATAAATAAGCCGACCGGAGAGATCTTAGCTCTCTTCTCTTCCGGCGAGGTTTGAGAACAGTAGATCTGTATGTGGTCTTGCTTATCTGAAGTTGAGGCCTGTAGTGACTGCTGTTGTCTGCCACACGTGAGGGGAGAGTGCTGGGCCACATCCAGCCGTCCTACTTCTCTCAAGGGAAGTGGTGAGATTTTGCCAGTTCTTTATTTTGCTGGTTACCGGGTTTTTAGATTGCGTATACCTGTTTTGTTTCTGTCCCTTTTCGTCCTGTTTTGTCTTTTTTCCCTTCTCCCTTCCCCTCTTCCCTTTTAAGAAGCTATTTAAGGTTTCTGGGGTTATAGGTATATAGTATTCTCACTGTATATATCTGTTTTATATGTAAAATATATTTTTGCTATAGCTTTGGCTGTTTGGGTTTTTTTTCTCCCCTTTCTGGGAAGCAAGGCTCTGTTGTTGAGTTTTGGAGACTTGGTGGGAAGCCAGCTCCAAACTTGCACACAAATTTATCTTATTCTCCTTCAGTCTTTGATTTCTTCTACACAGATATATTGAAATTATTTTTCTCGATGCAACCTATCAACTCTTAACTCCTATTTTTTCTACCTACCCAATTCTTTCTCTTTGTCTGGTTTTGAGCAGGTAAGATGCAGGATGGGCAGAAGACTTTTGGGTCAATTTTCTCACCCTCTGCTCTCTCTGAGCGTTAGCAGAACTAATTCTCATATGTCTACCATGAGCAAATGAACATCTCCTTAGCTATGCTCTCTCACTTGCACTCTAATAGGAGCGGTTTCATAATGCATGAATGATTCAATATTAACTGGTCTAGAAGCTGACTGTAGTCTCAGTTCTCATGGCACAACTTTTGACAGAACAGTTGCTATTAGACCCCACATTCACAGAGACTGTGTTGCTGTGGTTTTGGGTACCCTCATTGCAGAGGAATTTGGACTGGATGATCTTTAAAGATCCCCTCCAACTCAAACCATTTTATAATTCAATGATAATGTTGATTCATCTGAAACATCTACTGTTCTGGACAGAAGAGTCACATAAAATCATGTTACTCAGTTATTTTCTGCTACTCCAGATCTAAACAATGAAGCTGCCTCCAAATGGTTCTAGTATTCCTAAGGGCAGGCCAATGATTTTGACTTTAGGGCTGCGGTTTTTTTAAAAAGACTAAGGCTTTAAGTATTCTCACAACCAGAAAAGCTTTTGAATGTGCTCATGAAGAAAAGGAACACAAGGCCCCAGATACTTCTTAGGACAATATTTGAGATCACAATGTGTGTCTGCTAAACTGCCTGCCTTCAGTATCAGATCTCAACAACAGAAACAGGAGATCTAAATATCTCACTAATAGAAACAGGAGTGCATGCAAAGGCAGATAGTGCATATTTAAAACACCTAGACAGTGCTCCCAGTGAAGTCATTCCAACACGTGCTCAGATATGGAACATTAAAACATCATTGGCAGATCCAAATGATTTTATCTTGGCCTTGAAGGTTCTTTTCCTTCACATCCCTAAGCAACTACAATGTTTTGAGAGCTCCAAAACTGAGCAAATAGAGAGATTAACCAAGGTTTTTTTTACTCCTCTGCCTTCCCAGATATGCCAGGCTGGGTATATGCCCATGTGTGAGAGGCTACCAGCGCCCATGTATCCATGAGGGACTGAGGTGAGTGGCACAGGCATTGGTTGGTGCTCTCTGCTATGAGACAATCTGCACAACAGTGAAAATACTGAGTTATGGCTTCTCAAACACCACCTCACATGTCCTGTTCCTGTTCCTGTGCAGAGAAGGTAGCCATTTCTTTAAGAGGAGAAGTTAAGAACACCCTTATGAACTTCATTGAATATCTCACAAGCCATGAATGACCTGCAATTTTTCTAAGGAAATCATTAACTTTTTCAACACACCTGTCTGAGAAAGAACAATTTAGAAATAAACTGATCATTTATTTCTATGTTTTGAAATGATGAATTTGACTAAAAAGGGTTTGAAATCTTTTTGGCACTCAAACAGTAGAAAATTTGTTAGAAAAAAAAACAATTTTTGTAAACCTTCCCAGTCAATGGCTCATGATAAAATTCACATTGCTTTTTAATCTTATTTATTTTTTTACTATCCTCTTTTCAGTTATCTTTAGGCTTAATTTTGCTCTTTTTTATTGTCCATTTTCATAACGAATGTTATTTCATCTTCATAGGCAAGGTTTTATGATATCCTGACTCTTATTGGTGAGTAAATAGTATGGTTATGTCACTGTTGAATTAATTATTTTTTCTTGATATTGAAGTAATGAATGAAAATTTGGAGCACAAATGAGAGGGAATCAATGTGGGGAAAGAATGCCACCAGAAAAATGTTTAGTCACCATGAGACCCTGAAGTATTTTCCATGAAGTGTGATTATACAAATGCAAGGCAATGAAATGGGGTTTGTTTGTACCGAAAAAAGATATTACCAGAATCATGATAAAGATGGGATCACCTCCTGAGACATTCCCCAATGGGAAGAAAAAGTGACAAGACATGCTAAAAATGTGAAATGTTATGTGAAATGGAGTTATTCTCTCATAGACCATTACTCAAGAAACATTAAAACTGTTTCCTTGTACAGATCATTCATCGTTTAGGTAACAAAGTGCAGGAGTACTCTAATAGCAAAAGCCTGATATAGCCATTAATAGTGATTAGGGAGAGGTGGTACTCTTAGGGTCCTGTAATCTGCGGTGAAAATGTCATCAGTTACAGTGTAAAGCAGCCTTGGAAGAACTTTGATATTTGGCCTAGTGATCATGGCTGATAAAAGTTCTGGTTTGTGAAAGTCATTGCTGAATGTAAGCGTGAATGTACTGTTCAGAAATGTTATCATAACACAGTCTTAGCAACTGTCTTGTTTTAAGATGTACAATCAGAAAGACATTTTTCTTTTATATGAATTTCAGGTCATTTAAGTACCTTAAAAATCCTCATTCCTAAACTGTGAAATGTATTTAATCCATTGTCTTGTATAGTTTCATCTTTATCTGATTTTCAAACTCTGCAAAGCTCCAAAATTCTTGGCAGTAAAGAGTTTTCTTAGTGAGTGACAAGAGTGAAAACTTCCATTTTTTTTAAAATCATCACTATGTCAGTTAAACAAACAAATGTTTTCTCAGCATTTTCTAAAGATGAACTCCTACAACGTCTTTCTTCATTGGGCCATGTACTTTCATAGATTTCCACCAAAATCAGAGGGGTTCAGTGATCTGAGCTGGTATCATACACTGCAGATTCAACACCTTCCTCAGGCAATGTTACCGCTGATCTTGTTCTTGCTACCACAATTTTTCAAAGAGAGCAATGAATGAAGTTGTTCAACAGAGGCTAAAGATGAAAATAAAGAAGGTCTAATTAGACACATTTTCACAGGATAATGTGAACATTGCAAGTTTATTTGGGAAATGTCATAATATAGGATTATTAAAAAATAAGACCTCTAGTTTAGGAAGTCCCAAAGCTTCAGATTGCTCAAATCTGGATGCCAACACTAGCTTTGCTTTTGCTATTTCTGTTCTGTGACCTGTTGTTGGAGCAGGAGACTTGCTTAGATGCATCTTTGGTTTGAGCCAATACAAATGTCCTAATGTATTTACATCTTCTTCTTCTTCCTAGAATGGGCATGGTAGAGATACAGAGCGCTAGTCAAAAAATAAAAATAAAGTTTTACTTTTCAAGACTGTCATCCAAGACAAGGGACAGATGGAAAGAGGCAGGTGGAATTCCTGACCAAAATTCCCATTACTTTCCATTCCCAGTGTTCTGTTACTCAAAATAATAAAAAACTCCAAGTAAGTTCCTTTTCCTCTGTATCACCACTGTGCATTTCTGAAGGCCTGAAGGAAGACCCTTTCAAAGCCTTGCATGCATTGGTGCATATTCTCTGTTATGTGGGCTCAAAAAAACTTGGTGTGACAGCTGCCAGCGTGGGAACCAGGGACAAAGCTGTGTCTCTAGTAAAGAGTGTGACTTAATGCACTAATAAAGAATCTTGAGAAAATTAAAAATTAAGAAATCCAAAGCAACAGAAGAGGAAACAGGTGATATAACAATCAAAAACAAAAAAAAAGAAAGGTGAGAAGAAAGGGTTAATGTGTCAAAGTCTTCATTGGACTAAGGGATTGTTCCTGCCCTTACCCACTTTCTTTCCCAGAGTGGCTTGTGATGAGACTTACCTGTCCCCTCCAATGAGCTCCCTGTGTGTCACATGGAGATTAGATTACTCCTTCACTCAGCAACCTCATCCAGGCAGCTGCCATGGCCCACTACCCGTAAAAAAAGCCCTATTTTCACTCTTGCTAGTGATGTTTCCCACGCTGGAGAGTAGCAGAGAAAGTGAGGAGTAAAAAACTACTTGGAGTGTCTCTTTGGAGACAGTGGGCTGTGTACAATGGTACATGGGCAAGAGAGACTCCTCTGTTACCTTCCTGGGCTCAGGAAAGCTAAAAGATGTGTGGGAGAGCAATTCAGAAATATCCTCACCTTCAGTAATCAAGGATCCCACTCCCACAGCCACAGAGGAAACTCTGCAGGGAGTTGCTGTACTTACCATCTGCATGCTCCACATGCAGCTTTCAAACCTCTGCCACCTCCTCCTCAAGTCCACAGTAGGTTTGCTAGACTTAACTCTGTGTACAAAGTGTACTTCTTTTTCTGGTTCCTCTTCCAAATATCTTCATTAGTGGGATAAGAATCATCTCATTCTAACTTGCTCTTTCCAAATTTGAAATGCTACTTCAGCTGTATTTTATTCATACTGAAATAAAGTTTATGTTTTTTCAAAAGGAAAAATACATCAGCTCTAGCCACCTACTGAGCTGCCATATTTCATGCCTAGAGGATTCATCAAGCACCTGGTGATTTTTCAGAAAGACAAGGAAGCCTACTTGTATTTTCATCAGTTTTGAGTGAAAAAAATCCCAACCATAAACAGTTGAAAATCTGAGTCCCAAGAAACAAAAAAGCCTCAAACTATGAGAGTTTTAAAAATCTATGTTTCTTTAAGATACTGGTTTTAGACTCCTAAAGAAATTTTTAAGACAAATTCCAAACATTTCTCCTCACTCTAAAGGCAAGACATTGCAAACTATTTCATCGCCTTAGTAAATTCACAGATGCTTTTGTTTGTGTTTTTAATGTTACTACTTAACATTACGTGAACTTCATGTGATTCACATGAACTTCCAGGAAGCAGGTTTACACCTACTTCACTTAGCAAGAGGAAAGAAACTGAATAAAACCCATCTTGCTTTACCTCATTCCTTCAGGTTTACAGCCAGGATATTATGCAGCTTTGTGGTCTCCAAGCTGTAGTGAAATTCAGAGGTAAAACCCACCAGCTATATCCAAGGAGACTTTTGGGAGCATCTTCAGCTCCTGTGGGAGCTGTTCTGTCCCATTAAGCAGGATGCTTCAGCAGAGCTTCCATTCTCACCCCAAAGCTGTCCAAGTCTTCATACTTCAGTACCTGTTACAGGAGGGTTTTGTGCATGTAAAGATATGTAATATCTGCAAGCATATTGTTAGTTCATTTTTACTTCAGTATTTCCTACAAGTTAAGCTTCACATTATTACTCACTAACTCATCAGTAAACTGATGCCTGATCAATTTACTGGAGGTGGGTAGGCTAGGTAATTTGTGAGAAAAATGGAGTCACCTCTTTTTTAAATGACTTCAAGTAATTAATGCCCACTGGAATATCCACTGCATCTCTAGGTAGTGGTTCTGGTGGTAAGGAATCCTCCTTGTTAAAGATGTATATCTCATTTCCCCTCTAAATGCATTTGCTACAGCACCTAGCTATTTGAATGCGTTATGTTCGTATGGACAAGACTAAAACCCTCACAACTCTTTGTCCCCTTTTGCCCATTAAGATATTAGGAGATAGGCCTTAGTCACTGTTTCTTTTCCTTCCTTGATAACTAACGTTCTTCAGTTGCTCTCTAATGCAGCTCAATGTCAAAAAGTCAAGGCAGCAGAAATGGCTCTGAGTTGCCAGGAGTCATTTTCCCCTCAGGCCAAGGAAGGGAATAGGTCTATCATGTGTTGTCTAATGGCTGTGCAGGTCTGTTCATTACACCAGGAAGATCAGTACTGCAGTGCTGCCCTCGGTTCTGGAGTTCCATATCTGGAAAAGATGGGATGGATCACGAAGTGAGTAAGTGCTTGGGATTCTAAAGATATACCTGCAGTATTACATTTTCACATATTATGATCTTAAATTATAAGAAGGGTAAGAAATTATTTTATTGTAGTATAGAAGGAAAAGTATTAAGGAAAAAGTTAATTGATAGTGGTGTTAACTTTTTTCCTTTTCCCCGATGTGCAAAGAAATAACAAGAACCGGCATCTTAGAGCTGAAGTCATACACATTAAACCTTGAAATCAGATGTAATTTCCTAGTAATGAAGTTAATTTCCAGTTGGAGAGATTACATAGAGAAGAGATACATTTTCCATTGCATTGGAGTCTTTTAAATGAGATTAGACGTCTTGAACACAAAATTCTTTCATTTGGCTTCCGGGAAAAATATACATGCATAGATTACATATAAAGGAAACTAGATAAGGTATTTAGAACAACAGCTTCTGGTCTCAGAGTTGATAAGTACAAATAAATCATTCCATTCCACTTACAATTTTTTTAAGAGGATGGCAGAAACACAGCAAAGGCTGTGACACTGGAAGCAACATCCAAAAGGTTGCCAGGCAGTGTGGAGGAAGCAGTGCTTGCACCTATTAAGCTTTCTTAAATTTATCCCTAGTTCAGATTTCAGTGGTGTTGGAAATAGCTATATAACAAAAATTGGTATTGACTTCAGTGCCTGTGATACCATATTAGAATGAACTACTTTTTAAAGACAAATACGGTAATCCTTTACAATTTGTTTTCCTTGCTATAACTTCAGATGATACACTTAAATTACTTTAATTGCTCAGCTGTGAATTCACACACTTTATTATGTTAAATTTTTCATTTAAAATTTATAACTCTTTTAGAAAAATTACTGCGTTCTTGATGCCTGTCTTTTACCTGACATTGCTGATACATATTCTCAATTTTGTAAGGCTTTTTTTTGTCTGGATTGGTTTATTTTTCTCAATTACATCTTATTGTGGGCATTCAGTAAGAGCAGGCTGTGAAAATTTTTGTAGCAGGTCTGCTAAGTTTACTTTCAAATAAATTAGTTATAGAACGAACTGTGCAGTAGTGCAGTCCTCTGTACTTAGAACCGATCTATGAAAGCAGTGAAGTCAAATTTAATTGCTGTTTATGAAGAAAACTGATCTGTGCTCTTTCAGGGGTCTGAATTCCAGGGCTGCCTTAGTAGTCAGTTTGTTTGCCCATGTGCCACAGAACTGTAATATCTCTTTTACAAGTCCATTTTCCTCCTCAGCTAGTGTCAGAGAGATGGAAGTCTCCAGTCCTTCTTGCTTCCCAGTGATTCCTAAATAGCAATGCACTGTGTAAGAAAAAACAATTTTGTGTCTCAGTTACCTAAATTTCATTGCAAGCTGTCTGAAAGGTTTTTAATTTCCTCCCTTCCTCCTCCTTGCTGAAAAGCATACTGTGGTAATATGCTGTGTACGTTCTACAAGTTAAAGTTTCCTACCGCTTCGTTTCTTTTGCCCCTTGAAAATCAGCCATACCATCTTTGGCAGAACCATCTGTCTGCAAAGTAAAACATTTACAGCAAACCCTCAATTTTCAAAATACTGTGCAGCC